TGGGGAACTCTAGCTACCTGGGTAGTGAACCATGGTAATTTTGGGCGGTGGACAATGCAATAACCACCGCCATTGTATAATGATTTAAAGCCCCCACCCGCTCCCATGAGTGGGAGTTTGGAGGTGGGATTTTAGGTATGTTCCAGAATATTATTAATAGAGTCCCACCCAACACCTACCCTCACATTAAGACATTAGGTGTACTAATGTTTCGACATTTAAGAGCTCCCACCCACTGGTCCCCTGTGGGTTTCAGGGAGGTGAACAGTGATCTGTCCACTTCCCATTATTTTAATTTAAAGTCCTCCACCCAATGACTAAAGGTGTGCGAATGAGATAAAGACTATGGCCCCTCATTATTTTACAGATCCCATTCCCAAGGGATGAAGCCTTTCTAGAAACTGGACAACCATCGCTTTTTCAAATTTTAAACATTTAGCAGATACGCCGGCCACCTGCCATAGTAATATGGAAGTCTTATTAACTATCATAGGGTTTTTATTTTTTTACATTTTTAATATGTTGGCTGGCTAGCAACAGGGCCGGACTGGGAATGCAAAGCAGCCCTGGAAAAAAAAAAAAATGTATGCCAGCCCCATAAGTCAATGTGCCATGGTGGTGTGTGTGTGTGTGTGTGTGTATATATATAAGTATATACACACACATACAAACACTACCATGGCACAATGACTTATAGGGCTGGCATACATTTTTTCAGTAGAATATATATTACATAAAATGTATATTTATGAATTGGAATTACTCAGTCTGGAGTAGCAATACCTAGCCGTATTTTAAATGGTATAAAGGGATATTTAACATTCTCACTAGATGATATAGAAATATATATACTTTTATTATTAGTATGTTCCTTTTTTAATTATACATATTAGTAAAAATAAGTATACTCACATGCAGGCACAGACAATCTCATTGACACAAACACACACATTCACTGGTACACAGGCAATCTCACTGACACACAAGATCATTGACAAACACAGACAAGCTTACAGGTACACACAAACTTAGTACAGACAAACTCTGAGACACACAAGCTTACTACAGACAAACTCACAGGTATACACAAAGATGCTTACTGCAGATAAACTCGCTGACACTTGTCACTACAGACAAGCTCACTGACACACACATACATGCTTACTACAGACGTGCTCACTGACACATACATGCTTACTACAGATGTGCTCACTGACACACACATACATGCTTACTACAGACATGCTCACTGACACACACATACATGCTTACTACAGACATGCTCACTGACACACATACATGCTTACTACAGACATGCTCACTGACATAGGCGTGCACACGGGGTGTGCCTGGGCACACCCTAATCCCCGCGATACGCCTATGTATTGAGTCCTGCAGGAACAGAGTTCACGCTGCTCCCTCGCGCCGTTTGCTGATGCCGAGAGACAGAATATGACGTCATATTCCGCCTCCCAGCTACTGTAGACAGCCCGCGCGGCTCGCTCCCTGGCCACGTCTGATCTGGAGACAGGCGCCTGACCCACTGGACCCCACGGACAGGACCACGCCAGCTCTCCAGGTAGGGAGGCTGGGTGGACATTTTTTAATTAAAAAATAATAATTTGTATGTGTGTGTCTGAGTATGTATGTGCATGCATATATATGTGTGTCTGTGTCTCAGTATATATACACATATACACACACACATTTTTTTGAGGGGGGGTGGGAATCTTGGGAGAGTTCCCACACTATTCTCCAGGACTTCTCTGGAGATCTCAGGATCTCCCCTGTCAGCTCATGCAGAGTCTGCGCTATCCGAGTGCCGGCTCTGCTCTAAGCCTCCATGGGCTGGCGGGGAGATCAAAGATCTACCTCACCAGCCCACAGCAGCATTGAGGGAGGCAGGAGAGGAGTCGGGGAGCTCTAGACAGCAGCTTTGCCAGGTTCCTCTCACGAGATCTGAGCATTGCCACAGCAACACTCAGATCTCGAGAGAGTTAACTCTAGCCCCGCAGTCTAGAGTTCTCTCTCCACTGGACCACCAGGGATGGCACATGGCAGCAAGGATCCCCCCTCCCTACATAAGGTAAGAAGGGAGGGGGGATATTTACTAATCTGCCCCCACCTCCACAATCCCTCCAAACATACTGCACACACAGCACCCTCACACACTATCCACACCATCACAAACACACACAGCACCTTTACAAATACACAACACTCTAACAGCACCCTCACAAACAGCACCCTCACTAATACACGACACCCACACGGCACCCATCACACACACACACACACACACACACACACAGCACCCTCACACAGCACAGTAACAGGACCCTAACAAACACACACAGCACCCTCACACACAGCAGTGTATATATATATATATATATATATAGTGACAAACTTACTTTCCTGTGGGTGTTTGTCCAGGATCTTTTGGCAACCGCACAGCCCTCTAGGGTAAGAAAACCAGGTGAAGACAAAGTCCAGTTTCAAAAAGGCCTCTGACCTGTTTATTTTCTATTGTTATGAAGTAACAGGAACCAATAAACCACACACCACCTTCTTTCTCCTCAAAACACTTCCCTCACTTCACCCTGCTTTAACTGCAGTTATATAGCGGCTCACAGGTGAGGCTAATGACCTCGTTAGGCAGTGAGCCAGAACTCTTTAGAAAACCTGGGCTGGACTCATGCACAACCACTCTGACAGTGGGTGGATAATCGGCCCACCCTGCTCTTCTGAATACTCCACCCCAGGGACCCAAATAACAACAGAGGAAAAAAAACTACATTTAAACTTAACTTTCCCTGGGGCTGCATGTGCTTACCCACATGTCAGGATAGTAGCTTTGCAAAAGTCTGGGTGCCAGATATACACCCCTGACCACCATCCCCAACACTCTGTATATATATATGTGTGTGTGAATATATATATATATTTGTGTGTGTGTATATATATATATATATATATGTATATATATATATATATATAATACATATATACACATGCAGCGTGTGTTTGTGCTTTAGGGCGCACACCCTAATGCAATAGGCTGCGCACGCCTATGCTCACTGACCAACACATACATGCTCATTACAGACATGCTCACTGACCAACACATACATGCTTGCTACAGACATGTTCACTGACACACACATACATGCTTATTACAGACATGCTCACTGACACACATACATGCTTACTACAGACATGCTCACTGACAGACACATGCATGCTTACTACAGATGTGCTCACTGACATACACAGACATGCTTACTACAGACATGCTCACTGAAACACATGCTTACTACAGTCATGCTCACTGACACACACAGATATGCTTACTACAGACATGCTCACTGACACACACATACATGCTCACTACAGACATGCTCACTGACACACACATACATACTCACTACAGACGTGCTCACTGACACACACACATGCTTACTACAGACGTGCTCACTGACACACACACTCACTGACACACACATACATGCTCACTACAGACATGCTCACTGACACACACATACATGCTCACTACAGACATTCTCACTGACACAGACATACATGCTCACTACAGATGTGCTCACTGACACACATATATGTTTAAAACAGACATGCACACTGACACACATACATGCTCACTACAGATGTGCTCACTGACACACACATACATGCTTACTACAGACATGCTTACTGACAAACATACATGCTTACTACAGACGTGCTCACTGACACACATACATGCTTACTACAGACGTGCTCACTGACACACATGCATGCTTACTACAGATATGCTCACTGACGCACATACATGCTCATTACAGACATGCTCACTGACACACATATACATGTTTACTGCCGACAAGTTCACTAAAACACACATGCTCACAACAGCAGGCACACATTACGCATGCACACACAAAAGATCACTCACTAGCTGCAGTGTATTGGAAGCCTACCTGGCACTGCAGGCTGCTGCTGTGGAAGCCCTGGGAGGTGGGGACTCCATTCCCTGGCCTCTTCCCGCCCTGAGGTCACCAGCTTGTAATCAGGGGTGGAGCTTGTTGCCAGGAGTGGGGCTTTAGACGGTGGGCAGAGCTTGAGTGGCAGAAAGCTCCCTTCCTGCGTAGGGCTCTCCAGTCTCTCCCCGGCCCCAAGTGCTGCAGCCCACCAGGAAATTTCCTGTTATCCCGTTAAAGGGCTTTTAACCGCTTCAGCCCCGATGGAGGGTGGCACTCCAAGAGCCTATAGTGCCAGGAAAACGGGCATTATAGGATCCCTTTAAGAATGTCTGGCATTTTGTTTCAATAGGATGTATACAGTATTAGCCATCATAAACCTCTTTACACTTCGCCAGAGGTTGGTGTTAATTTTTTGGGGTTAGTGACAGCTGGTAATGAGTAGTGACAGAACTGGAAGCCAGTCAGAAACTAGTTGCTAAATAGTGTTTATCGACTTCCACAATGACATTGTAACTATTTGTCATTACAGTTAAAATTTTGCAGTCAGTGATCAGCCACTGCAACAAGTAGCTGCTAACCACTAAAAAGCTGGTCAAATTGACAAGATATTAAACAAGCCGAAATCAACACACAAATAGGTAACAACGAACAGTGATCATTATGAACATTAATAATGTTTCACCAGGTGTGTCTTTAAATACACTACAAAATGGTAACAATTATAATATAGGAGAAAAGAAAAGTGGTGTTTAGTTATATCTACTTAACATGACAAATACAAGTGACAGTCCATTAAAACAAAAGCTTTGCTGACTTATACCCTACAGTGGAGACGTTTAACTCTGAAATAACAAAGGCATTAATTCCCTATCCATCATGCAAAAGCAAGCAGTAAACTACTGTCACAAAGAACTAACACTGTAGACAATAAAGCTGCACAAAACAACAAAAAATTCACCTTACTAGGCAGATTAATGTAGCCTTTGTCCAATGTATGCAGAACAAGCATGAGACAAGTTCTATATAAATCCAGATCTGCTTCCTGTGAGCACTGAGCATTTGCATCAAATCCAGTTAAAATGGGGAAGGTAAATGTTATTGCCTAAAATGAAATAAAATACGTATATACACACTCACAAACATACACTTGATGATATTCAACATGCATTTTCACCATGATATATTTATTGTAATAGTTTATATCTAAATTAACCTAAATTAATCAAACATACAGGGAGTAGAAAAAAACTAATACATTTAAATTTTTCAATAGATTACCTTCTACGAGGACAAGAACTTTCAGGGACGTTCCTATGAGTGCAGCTCAGATTGTTCTGACCTCCACTCATACTTCAACCGTTGCAACTCCATAAGAGTAGAAAGTGGACCTTGGATGATCTATGAGCTCCCCAACTATAGGGGATACCAGTACTTCCTGAAGAAAGGTGAATATCCCGACTGCCAACACTGGATGGGATTCAATGACTCCATTCGTTCATGTCGTGTGATCCCACAGGTAAGCCTTGTTTCTACATGAAGGTGTATAGAGCTCCATACCAGCTCCATACCTTGGATTTCTTGCAAATTTACTGCATTTAGATTTAAATTGGTGTCAAACTATGTTTTCTAGGGAACTACTTATTTCAGTGAAAACTAAACGGAAATCATTTAACATTATATGTATTTACACATTTTCTATATAATTAAGGTGTAGTAAGGGGATGACTGGTAAGGGTGCAGGTGGGCATTTTCTTGTGGCCACTAGTATAGAGAGGTTTGTGAACTGCTGTCCATAAACTCAGTAATAAATACATTACATACTATATTCTTTTATTATTGGATTCTAGTTGCAAAATTAGTAATATTAGTATAAAACCTTTAATTAAAAATGAAAGGATTACTCAAAGCATTGTATAGACAAGGCCATATTAAGAGCCCAGTGTGCCTGGTGCTGACAATAATAATGGGCCTAATTATAGAATCATATCGACAGAAAACACTAAAACAGTCATACCTCCCAAGCGTCATGTATCTGGTGGAGGTTGTGCTGGAGGGAAACTCACAGGATATATCGGTAAGAAACCACATACCCTATGCGAATCTCTCACTTTCATCTTTCATGTAAATTTTTCCATACCCCCTAACAGCAGTGTCCAGTGAAGCAGGATTTCGGTGGGCATGGTAAAAGTGTGAGCCACTGATGCGAATCACATAAACAAAACCACCAAAAGATGCAATCATGCCCCAAAAAAATTTGCCAGAGGAATTAGAAGGTCAGCCTGGCATGAATGCATGTCAGGCTGCCTGCCAATCATGCAGGTTAACCAGCTAAATGCAAGTAATGATGAGCTCACTCTACTCTTTCTAAGGAATGTCCCCTAGCACTCACTTGTCCACTCATATCCTTACCTTCTTACTAGCAGGCAGAAGCTACTGTTATACAGTCTGGGACAGAGAAAAGATGTATGTAGTGAGTGTGGAAGAAAGGGAAAACGCTACAGTGTTAGAGAGACTGAAACAGCAAGAGCATTTGCATGGTGCGCAAAGTCAGCTGTACATTAATTAATTTTATTGTCAGCCAGTCCTCACAAGTTTTGTTTTCCAACATCCACATTTAAAGAGTAGTATAAAAAATAATAATAATTTTTCTTATTTTTGGTTGTTGTTTTTTTTAGCAATAGGACTATTCTATGGGCATGAGCCTGGAGCGTCATCTTTATCAGCCCCTATGCTAATCTGGCCCTTCATATAGGTTAAAATATTTGTGCTGCATTTCACAGCGAAAGCTGCATTTACAGACTCAAATCACTGAAGTGTTCATGGTGGTTGGAGTAACCCTTTAAGGAGGGAAATGTGATGGGGAGGTTTGGCCTCAAATAGTGTTACTTAAGTGTAGTTGCCTCAGAGTCCAAATGTAGCCAGCCCTCCAGTAGCTATATTATTCATATCTCATTGTGTTCATATCCTTCAAACCACCTCATGTACATAATCCCCCATTGAAATGCTCCTGGGACTTTTTTTATATATGTGATTTACATATTTAATGGAATGTTATGCTGACATAAATTTAACCTACACAAGACCATAGCGAGCCTGGATTTGACCAGCATTAGAGGGTAAAGTGGAAGGGCTGTAACTAGGTTTGTAAAACATTAGAGCCCCATTCAGACCAATATTCACCTTGTTTGTGCTAGTAATAGTATCCACAACTTTTTCATGCTTTCTCTTCAGTGCCAGATAAAGGGCCTCATTTACATGTGTATGTTAAAGAAACACTCCAAGTACCACAACCACTACAAAGCACTATACTGGGTATAGCTCCAGAAGTGCCATGCTCCCCCCCCCACACACCACCTCCGATTGTAAGTAGTCAAACTATTTTTTGGTTTAATTTCTTACCTGGGGTCCAACAGGTGTCAGCAGCCAACTCCACTACCTCAGCCAGAGATAAGGCAAAGCAGTGCACTGGGGCCCTGCCTGCACAACCACTCATAGGGATGAAAATGTAAATTATCGATAAAATTAACCCCTTCAGGACGTAGTCAATAGTACACGGTCTGATCAAAACAAAACATAAACAAAAACTGGAATTTGCGCTATATGTCTGTTCAACCGTAATTCACTGCTGTCACATTAAGTGCACCCACACTTATTATATATAATTTTGTTCAGGAGAAACAGGGCTTTAATTTATCATTAACTATTCATATATGGAACATAATTTATTATGAATAAAATTTAAAAAAATGTGAGAAAATAAGATTTGTTTTTAAATTTGTATTTCCGTCTGACATTTTAGCTGTGAATGTCATAATACTGTAAAAAAAAATGCACATATTTGTAATCAGCGATGTCTCACGAGTACAACAGTACCCCCCATTAACAGGTTTTATGGTGTTTTGGAAAGTTACAGGGTCAAATATAGAACGTTCCATTTTCAAATTGAAATTTACCAGATTAGTAATGTTACCTTTGAGACGGTGTGGTAGCCCAGGAATGAGAATTACCCCCATAATGGCATACCATTTGAAAAAGTAGACAACCCAATGTATTGAAAGTGGGGTATGCTTAGTCTTTTTTAGTAGCCACTTAGTCACAAACACTGGCCAAAGTTAGCGTTCATATTTGTTTTTGTGTGAAAAAAGCAAAAACTAATATTTGGCCAGTGTTTGTGACTAAGTGGCTACTAAGAAAGACTGGACATACCCCACTTGCAATACCTTGGGTTGTCTACTTTTGCAAATGGTATGCCATCATAGGGGTAATTCTCATTCCTGGGCTACCATATGCTCTCAAAGGCAACATAACCAATCTTGCAAATTTCAATGTAAAAAAATGAAATGCAAGCCTTATAGGTGACTCTCTAACTTTCCAAAACACCATAAAACCTGTACATGGGGGTACTGTTATTCATGGGAGATTTCATTTATACATTTATTTTAATTTTACACATGTTTAATTCATTTTTTTTTTACTTTCCCACCAGCAGGGGGACTGTCTGACATTTCAGACAGTCCCCCTGCTGGCAGATCCACAGCCAGCTATAAATGTGTCTTTATTTTGTCTTACTTTTGTACAACTAGTATGTGTATTGTTTTCGTCAAGATATGTTTTTGCAACAGTAAGATCACATGTACAGATAACAGCTGATACCGAGGTGATTAGTCCACCTTAACATTTTAACAAAGAGGGTTTGAAGGTTCTGAATATATCTCCCAGAATAATGTACTGAAAAGTTGGCTAGCCTATGGAGCCTCGGTGCTCATGGGGCCCCTGGACAAGTGCCTAGCATTCTTGTGTGTTAAAATAGCTCTTGGAAACTCTTGTTTAGATTGTTTGCTTACATGCTTTTAAAGAGGTTTGACTACTTACAACAGGGGTCATCAGGACACTGTAGTGGCTATGGTGCTTTGACTGGATTTTGCAGACATATCTAAACCTATACCCAAGCACCCAAATAAATTCTCAATTGTTGAAATGTATAAATCCATAATTGCATTCACACATGCACAGTGGAAAGATCAGTCCTATAAAAAAATTATCCGCACATTATGTTTTTAATGCAGTTTTGCTACCCGAGGTCTAGCCGAGTTTATTAAACTTTCAACCTATGTAGAATATGGCGTATTTTCAGTTCAGTTCTGGAAGTTTAGTGAACTGATATTTAAAATGAAAAATAAATGCAACAATAGCTGTCTTTGGAGAAATTGTCCATTTGATTTGTAGTCACAGCTTGGCTACTTAAGCCTCAATTTAGCAATTCGGAAATCAGTTAGCTACAACAGGGAGGTTAGTGTATATCATACCATGAAACTTAGGTATGTAATGTGCAAAATTCTATGAGTATGTATATGTTCATAGGTTTCTGATACAAATTTATGTGTTATGTTTACAATGCTTGTGCACTAAAAATGGGATTTATATAATAAAATATATGTATAATATATATATGTGTGTGTGTGCATGTATATGTATAAATATGTGAAGCACATCAGTGCATTTAATGTGTCTGTAATATGTGTATGTTGTGTAATATATGCTTGATGTATGAAACTATATGTGCAATTAATATATATGTGTAATATAATAACTGAAAATGGCAGTTTAATTTTCACCGGTCTCTATTTCCAGTTTCTTTTACTCTGGTCTTTCCTTATCACCTGTGTCTCTCAAAATGTATTTTACACTGCACATTACTAGGGTCTCTGAATTCTCCCAGTACACAAACTGCATTAGAACCCTCTAAGGAAAAAGGAAAGGATAGTATGGGCATGCTGCTTGAGACTGCAGGGAGCAGAGTTTTTCAGATACCACATGGTACGTTAGAAAAATACCTTTCCTTCTCATATTAAATTCTCCCTGCTGTTATGTATCACCATGCTGAGCCTGAAACTGGTTGAGTTTGATGAGAGTTGCAAGTCGGTGGAGCTGCATGGTTTGACGAATTGAAACAGGCTCATTATAGAATGCTTTCGTGGAGAAATATCCAAGTTCAGTCAGTAGAAGGTAAGAGACTTACTTGGTTATTCACTAAAGTGTGAGTTCAAAGTGAATTTCAAATTTAAGGCCATAATAGCCAAACTGGAAAAATCTCTACGCTTCTTCCCAGCTTCCAGTTCAGCTACTTTGGTCTTAAATTTGAAATTCACCAATAATTTTCGAGAGTGTGGTCAGCTGACATGTGCAGTGTGTATACATAATTATAGAGTGAGGAATTACACAACAAATGTGCAGGGTGTACTGGGATATTACAGATTACAGGAGTAGTCAAACCTTTCCAACACCCAAGTCTCCCCTGCTGGGGACTTTTGGTACCATTAATTTTATCTTAACTTCTCACTGATCCCCACTCTATCCTTATTTTCTTACATCCCAACCATCAGTGGCAAAACTACCTTCAGTGCAGCCAGTGTGGCTGCACTGCAGCCCATGTGCTGACAGGGCCTGTTGGGAGGCCCATGCACTTAGGGTCACCCAATAGACATGTGTCATCAAGGACTTGGTCATGCTTTAACAGCATGATTGGGCCACTGTAATATCACAGCGCTGGGAGGAAGCTAGAACCTGTCACTTCCTCCCAGCTAAGATATACCAAGCCACAAGGAAGGGAGAGAGGGAGGTAGATCAGTGGAGGGTGGACTGGGAGAACAAGCCCGGAACTTGCAACAGCCAACAGCCCAGTCAAGAGAAGCTGCTCTCTTGTCAACTAAAAGGTGGATACAATTTCGTCCTGTTTATGTGTCTTTGTGTGTTCTTTTGTGTGTCTGTGTATGTATGTATTTGTGTGTAGCTGTATCTGTATCTATGTCAGTGTTTGTACCTGTGTGTCTGTGTATCTGTGTGTGTGTCAGTATTTTTATCTTTTATACCTGCATGTGTGTCAGTGTGTGTATCAGCGTGTCTTTATATCTGCATGTGTGTCACACTTTTTGTCTGTGTATCTGCATTTGTGTGTATCTGTATGTCTGTGTATCTGTGTGAGTCATTGTTTGTGTCTGTGTATCTGTTTGTGTGTCATTGTTTGTATCTGTGTGTTGTTGTATCTGTTTGTGTGGCAGTGTTTGTATATGTGTACCTGTACATCTGCATGTTTAGCAGTATTTCTATCTGTGTGTCTGTGTATCTACATGTGTGTCAGTGGTTGTATCTGTGTATCTGCATATGTGTCAGTGTGTGAGGAACTCTATGTGGGCCATTGTTTGTTTATGTGTGTCTGTGTATCTGCACCTGTGTCAGTATTTGTATCTGTGTGTCTGCATCTGTATGTGTGTCAGTGTTTGTATCTGTGTGTCTGATTGTCTGCATGTGGGTTAGTGTGTGTGTGTCTGTGTATCTGCCTGTGGGGCAGTGTATGTGTATACATCTTTTTTCATAATAATCTTTATTACATTTTAGACAATAAAAAACATTATATCACATATAAAACATTTATATTCAATGAAGCATGTTACCTTAATTTTTCTGCAATTCCAATTTTCCACTTTCCTTGATTCTTTACATCTTAATGGGAATATTTTCAGCCTCCAACCATCCCTACAAAAACAACAAGAAAAGAAAGACAAAACAAAAAATGAAAATTATGCATCCTAACCAAACCTATACCAAGTGATCTATGTGCACATGTTGCAATGAATCAATCACAGAGGAGACAGAGACCATCTTAGCACTAAATCCATACAGGGACTTTTCACCTACTACCTTTCTTCCTCCTTATTTTTTTCTTCTTTTTCTTTCCCCTTTTCCTTTCTTTTCTTCCCTTTTCCCTTCCTTTTCCTTTTCAATTTATGTAAATTCAATTTTTTTTATCCATTTGTCCCATAGTCCTTACTGTAGAGTTTTTCTATTTGCAGGAGTTAAAATACCTTTTTTATTTTTAACAGATGACTTTGCAATTTTTGCAATTTAATAGAGTTCCAGGAGGGGCATATAGGGTTTTTCCAATGTCTAGCTATGACTATTTTTGTGGCGGAAAGAATATGTATCAAAAAATAAAACAAATGGTTTTTATTTTGGGGTAAATATTGTTGTAATAACAGTACCTCCTGTTTAAGGTCAACGTCATAGTTCACAATTATTTTGAATTTTTCACAAACCTTCCACCATAATGTTTCAATAGAAGGACATTTCCACCATGTGTAAAAATCAGCTTCTTGTCTACCACATTTCCAACAGGCCAAGGATAAATTTGGATAGATTTTTTAGTTTTTGGGGGGTATAGTGCCATCTATTTAGGAGTTTGTAATGGAGTTTGATTAAATTAGGACAGTAGATATTTATCTTAATACTAATCACAGATTTAGCCCAATCTTTGATGGAGATTGTCACTCCCATTTTGTTCCCATTTTCTTAAAGCTTTTGGGATAACTTGTTTCTCCTTTTTTTTGAGGAGTTGATTACACAATGAAATTAATGTTTTAGTATATTTCTTATTAATACTCTTTTTTGAAGAAAAGAACAGCCTCTGAATCCAATTGAGTTATCAGCTTCTTCGACAAGAATGCTTGCATTTTAAAGTAGTTGAGAAATACTTTATTTGATAACTTAAATTTTGAGATCAACTCTTCGAAAGGTAATATCTCCTCTCCTTGCATAATCTTCTTCATCTTAATACCATTGGAAACCCATCTTGACAAATATACCTCATGTAACAAGTCTCCCAGGGAATCTATTCTCATAGATGGTAAAATGTTATCTTTAAGACATCCTTAATTTTATACCAGTTTTTTTAGAATTTGATTTATATAAAAAAAACTCTTCTTTTTGGGCTTCTATACTCTTAGCTACACTCTGAAGCCAGAAGACTGATGTAAGTGTTTTAAAGGGATCATTTCTCCTTAGTTCAAGTTTATACCAACTTTCCTTTATGGCTGATGGATGTAGCATACAAAATGCATGTGCAAGTATAGAGGCTCTATTAAGTATATCTTTACATGGACACCCCAATCCTCCCTTTTCAATATCTTTTGTTAACAGTTTTAGACATATTCTGTTTTTTTGTTTGTTTTTTTAAGCCAGATAAATTTTGAAAATGAGGTCTGTATTAACATAATCCATCTTTTTGGAATTTGAAAGGGTAATAAGCTTAGAAGGTAAGTAATTTTGGGTAAGACATAGGATTTAACAGAATTAATCCCCCCCTCCACCAGGATATCTCTTTTTTTTGTCCATTTTTTAAAAATTTGAATTTATCTTTTTTATTAAGGGTAATACATTTAATCTGTCCAATTTTGTGGGTTTGTCGATATCTTTTTACCCAAATGAGATAAGTAATTTTTAGCCCATGTAAAATCAAACCTCGCTGCAATATGTGCTTTCATCTGATAATCCATAAATAATGGCATAAAGACTGATTTAGAAGAGTTCAACATATAATTTGAGAATTGACTATATTTCTCAATGACCCTCATTAGTTCTTCAGCTGAGTTCACAGGATCGTCTAATATAATTAATATGTTGTCTGCATATAATTTAATTTTAATCTCCTCTACCTCTCTAAACCCTTTTATTTTATTGTTGTTTCTTATATCTATCACTAGAAGTTCAATGGTCAAGATGTAAAGCAGTGGTGATAGTGGACAGCCTTGTCTTGTGCCATTTGCAGATTGAACCAGGTTGAGGAGAGGCCCAGGCTCATTATTTTGCCTGGAGGGTTATAATACCGTGCCATTATGATGTTTAAAATTGTGCCCCAAAACGAAAGAGTTTTAAAGTATTTTCCAGGAATTCTCTACTGACCCTGTCAAAGGCCTTCTCTGCATCCAATGACAGGGTCAGTAAAGGGGTCTGTCTGTGTCAGGAAATCTCAAACATATTTATCAAAGTACGAAAATGGTTAGATGAGGATCGGCCGGTCATTAAGCCCACTTGATCTATATGAATTAGTTCAAGCATAACCTGTTTCATCCTATTTGCTATCACCGCTGTCGGGTCGGAACCCTCTAAGAGAAATAGGTCTATAACTCCTTGCATCCTCAGGATTCTTATCTGGTTTTAAGATAGTAATTATGTTTCCTCTCAATAGATCTTTAGGAATTGACCCCATTTTTGTAAATTACAAAAAAAGGCAGTCATCAAGTGTAGAGTAAGCTCTTCCTTAAAAGTTTTATAAAAGAAACCCAGGAGACCATCTAGACATGGAGCTTTTTTTTTAGACGATACATTTTCAATTATTTTAGAAATCTCCATGTCTATTCCAATTGAAGACTAGTCAATGTTTTTGAAATTCACTTTAAAAAATAAGATGCCATATTAACTTTGTGATTTATTGAATTATATAATACTTTGTAGTAATTTTTAAAAGCCTCAACTATCTTCTCTGGCGATAAACAAGTGTTACCTTCATAAACAATTTTAGAAATAATTTTAGATTTGTATATAATTTTTAATTTAGATGTTAAGATACTATCTGCCCTATTACCTTTATAGTACCAGTTAGTTTTCATTTTCACCAATATTCTATTAGTGTTATTTATTAACTGGTTATTAATTAAGCCTTTTGTTTCCACAATCTGTTTAGAGATATGTATTGAAGGTTTGTTTTTATTAGCTCTTTGAAGTTTTTCCAGTTTAATATATTAATCTGACAATTTTGTTTCCTTAAATGTTTTATCTTGTGATGCCATTTTAATAAAGTAGCCTCTTATGACACACTTAAAGGCCACCCAGACAACTGCTGGAGACAGTTCGAAAGTAACATTCTCTGCAAAGTATTGTTGTATCAATAGTTTTATCTGACCTTTTTATTTTGTGGGGATTGTAATAAATATTCCTTTAATTTCCATTCTGGTCTTTGCCGCTTAAATTGATCTCTTAAATCCATAATGATCATATTATGGTCTGACCAAAAGATCTGTTTAACCCCTTAAGGACACATGACATGTGTGACATGTCATGATTCCCTTTTATTCCAGAAGTTTGGTCCTTAAGGGGTTAAATTGAACTTTTTTTGACTCTGTTCACTCGTGAAGTTAGTTATGATATTGTCAATTCTCGAATAGGACAAATATGTCTTAGAAAAACAAGTGAAATCCCTCTCTGTAGGAGATGTTGCAAATATTGTTTTATTTTTTGTTTTTTTCAATGCCTGGATCAGAATTGATCTTTTAAATAGGGAATTTAGACCCTGCATGTTTAATGTAGCAAACGTAACCATTGTCACATATTTGGTGATTCCCTCTCTCCTCTCCCGAGATTGCAACCTCTATAACATCTTCAGATAAATAGTGTGGATGACGATAAATAAATAAAAAACACCAAACTTCCCCCCCCCCCCCAAAAAAAACAAAACAACATTACTCCATACATAAGCAAAACAACCTATGCTGGAGAAAATCTCTAGCTCTAAATACTTAAAAAGTATCAATCCTGCCCAAAATACCCTGCGTAGGCAGGCCAATATACCGTTCCCCATGGCACATCAAAAAAGAAAAAGATGTCGAGAGCCACGGCAATAGGTCAATTTGGGATCTATAAAGTTGAGAGGCAAGAAAAAAAAATTCAACCTTCACATTTACCTTTAACTTCTGCATTAAAAAACGTTTTAAAACTTCTAGTTCTCGGTTTTGGAGACCTTGTATTTCTATTATTAACATATTAGTTATCGGAGCTGATTTTTAATATATTCTCAGTCCTTATACACTATTCTTACTTACTAATAATAAAATTAAGTTTTCATATTTTTAATCCCAACTTTGAAAGTTCTAGTTGAATTAGTATAGAAAAGTTAAAGTTTCTTTTCTACCTCAACAATTTTCTTGTTTTTGTCTCAACTCTATTATTTTTGCCTAAACCAGTTAGGACAGTGAAAGGGGAAAGCTCTCCACTTATCATTTCAGGTCATCGTATTAACATACTTCTTAAAGGGCCACTGTAGTCACCAGAACCACTACAGCTTGATGTAGTGGTTCTGGCATCTAAAGTATGTCCTTGCAGTGTTAGCAATGTAAACACTGCCTTTTCAGAGAAAAGGCAGGGTGTACATTGGTGCCTAGTAACTCCTCTAGTGGCAGTCACTCAGATGGCCCCTAGAGGTGCTTCCTAGTTTAAGGCTGCACAGTGCACTTCACTGGCGTTCAGCATCTCCGTGCTCTGCATCCAGTGCATTTCTATGAAGAAATACTGATTGGTGTAGCTCAGCATTTTGCAGGACATGCACAATTGCTACCCAATGCTTTCCTATGGTTAAACACTTGATTGGCTGAGATCATCAAGATTGTTGATCTCAGCCATAAAGGCAGAACTAGGCGGGGGCAGCAGCCTCAAGACCAGCGCTTAATGGGAGTATAATCACCTTATTACTGCAATTGGAGGGCTAGAATAACATAAACAGTTCATGTTTGCATGTTTACATGTTTGCATTCCTGACACTATAATGTCCTTCAAATGAGAATTGCTGTAGGTGGTCAGGAAGTGAGTAAGAAGATTTGGAGGTGTCATAGCGAACATGTCTCACATCAGTGTTCCTTTGGTGTACCATGCTGATCTATAAAAATGAGCTCACATAACCTTAGCTTATAGCATGTCATCCACCAGGTCCCAAAAGGGCATTGGGACGGGGGGGCGGAGCCTGGCTTTCAGGCTGAGTGGAAGCTCCTGCACAAACTACCTAATTTCGGGGGAAAGCACCCCTAAAACTGTCACAAAACCACTCTAGAGAGGTATAGCCTTGTCGGGGTCACCCGGGCACATCTTTGGACACCCAAAACGCTAAACTGATCACCCGAGAACCAAACTCCGGTGGCTGAGGACTACAGGAAAGCGAGCAGGGGAGAGACGGGCACTCTCCTCTCTCCCCACCTGCTACAAGATAACCTCGACCCTCAACTCTTCTAACCCTCCCTCCCCCCGGAACCGGTGGAGATATCCCGGTCCTCGCTGCGGGCCTGGAACAACCTGCTAACACAGACCTCCACACAGAGTGTAAGCACCAGGGCCGGCGACACGAGGCACACGTAAAATGGCGGCAGAGTACTCTGTCTGCAACTACACAGCAGCGCACCAACCGCAACAATGATCTCATGAAGCGTCTGGATGACTTGCTGAACAACTTCTGGGAGAAGCTCCAGGTGGCGAGACCCTATGGGAGCAGGCGAAAGGAGCCATGGGCCACCGGGTGAGAGGGGGACACCCTTAGGTGCAGCATCTGATTACTCACCGACAATCACCCACCCTAGCCCACATGGGCTGAAAGCCAAGAGGGTTCCAACCCGACAGCGCTCAAGCGACGCAAGCAGCAATCCACCTACAGGCCTTCCGCTACCCCCGTATATACTCAGGCAATGTAAGCCAACGAGTTCGTGGCCAGGAGACGCAGGCCTACACACCAGCCTGGGGTTGGAGGGATGCCCCCACTCACACCCGAGCGGCAGCACCTCCCTGCTACCAGCCAGAGGAACTAAGCTCTTTCCCAACAGCAGGAATAGGATGAGAGGCAACTGACCACAAACTCTCCTATGACCCGCAGACTCTTCCTACCAGGTCCATGCACATGTGTTGCTAAAGATATTCATTGCAGACAAGTTTGTTTACATGTGTTTCTGTTCAATTTCTGTTTATTTCTTGATTAATTGTCTGTATTATTGTTTACACTGGTATACTACATGTTGAACCTAGAGTACCCACCCCAGGCCTTACCCTAGGCGCCGGGTCGCAGCACCCAGCAATCACTAGAGTAGCCAGTACACTCAGCATTTAACCCTTACTAGCATGACCGAACCACGTTGAGCCACATACGCAGACTGGAAAGGGGATGCAAGCTAACTGAAAGCAATAGGCTAATAAAACCAGCTTAAACGAGCACACCTAATTCCCCCAACTTGACCTGACTTAACCACCTTGTCTAATGTTCTACCTAACAAATAAGCCTATCTATCAACAACACTACAATACTGCCAGGTTGTCTAGGCAATTTGCTGTCAGGCTCCACATTGATGTACTGCTGACATATGCTTCAACACTCGTTTAAGTAATCCTGCATTGATCCTACATTAGGCAAATATAAAAAATGTGCAAGAGTTAACCATGCCACATTCATGTTATTTTCTGTAACGTATGACCGAGCTTGTGACTGCTGTTGTGGCAATACAAGCATTGCTGTACCTATTTGCACAAAAAAAAAGGCATTGGGACATTATAGATAAAAACATCTATGGTTAAATAGGGATAAATTATTAGCTGTTGTGGATCCCACTGGCTCCAATTTTGAGTTAGCATTCTAAATTTACTAAAATGCTGCTGAGCAAAATCACCATGTTATTTATCAGACACTTCGTTGCCATAGCTCACTTCTTAATGCCCCCCTCCATGTACTGAATATCGCTAATTACTATATGTATTTTTGTTTAGTTTCCAATTTTGTAATGGGAAAACATCCCAGAACAAACGTAACTTTCTTTTATTTTTCTCTTATGTCTACAGCATAGAGGAGATTACAGATTAAAAATGTATGAGAGAGAAGACTTCAAGGGACAGCTAATGGAATTTACAGATGACAGCTCTAATATTTTTGATCAGTTCCATTACCGTGACATCCACTCCTGCAACGTGTTTGATGGACACTGGATCTTTTATGAAGAACCCAACTACAGGGGGCGTCAGTATTATCTAAGACCTGGAGAGTACCGAAGGTACACTGACTGGGGTGCTGTGAACAGCAGGGTTGGCTCAATGAGACGTGCTATGGACTTTTATTGAAATTAACATGATCAATCTATATCGCTAAATAAAGTATTCAAATTTTAACTTGGATGAGTATCATTCATTACAGCAGCTCAAACATCAAAGTATAGCTAGAAAACTGTAAAAGATTCTGAAAATATTTGTCAAAATAAATGTACATTAGGTTTGATGAAGCGATTTATAATGTTTGTCTAAAAGTTTATTATTTGTAATGGACCCTTAAATTTGTCCAGAGCCATACACATTTTAGTAGGTATTTCAGAGTGATTCTTGTGAGTCATTTGCAGCAATTTGAAGGCAAACATTAAAGGAACTGTATAGGTAAAAAAAACACATATCCTTTCCCCAAACCCTCCAACAGTAAACCTACTGTCACTAAATGTTCTTCCCTCCCCCCCCCCCTAAATAGTGTAAAAATGTGTTTTAGAAGTAGCTCTTTTAATCTTTACTTTGATCATATTTTCTGCCACTCCTCTGATTTCATGTCATATCTCCCGGATTTCTGTATTTCAACTGGACTGTCCACCAATGGCCATGCTCCAGTGATTCTCTATGAGAATGAGTAATGACATGCCTTAGTGGGCTTACCTGAGCTTAGTGATGCAATTTGCATCACTCAACACATGCCCACAATGCCTGCCCAAGACTCCTCGGAGTCCTCAGTATTCAGACATTCAGACATTAGAACTTACAAACCACATCACACACACACATAAACATTTCCTCACCACGTTAGGTATTATATAGTGTCACATGTTGATTATAAATAAATATAAAGAGGCAGACAAACTCATAAATACCTAATAGAGCTTTGTTTTCTCTCTCTCTCTCTCTCTCTCTCTCTCTCTATATATATATATATATATATATAATCTATTTATCTATCTATCTATATTTATATATATATATATATATATATATATATATACACAAATATATATATACATATATATGGCTATCTCTATCTATCTCTATCTCTATCCTCGGCAGGGGAGGGATTAACGGTGGGTTACAGCACTGCAGGAGAACTACACAGAATTGAAAGAAAAGAAACCGACCACAAGTACTTAAGCTTAATAGCTTTAATTTAAGCTTAACTTGTTTCGCTGCCTGGAGTGTCCCTTTAAAATGTAATTGAGAAGTAAGAGGGAAAAAAAGCAACAAATCAATGTGCAAGAGAATACTTCCATTGCCTTTCGGTGGGTTCCTGCTCAGCTCTCAAGCTGTTTTTAGCTCACAGAGTGCCATTACCTAATGAACCAAAACAATATGCAAATAAAACTGATCCCACCCAAAAGGGTTGTAGAAATCCAAAATGCAGGTGGACTCTCTACACAGCTCTCTCTCTATCTTCAGTTCAGAAGTAACTTACAATATCTAAGTAGGACCATATATTTATATGTATATATAAAACCAAGATGCTCCCCTATGCCTGAGAGAAGAGCATCTGTTTGGAGCTCTACAGCACCCCCTTTCTTACGTATGCCAAACATATTATGATTGGACATGAACATTCCAGTTCAGGTAAATTAGCTTTTAGCAGAGTATTAAAAATCGTTAATATGTTGTGTGGTTTTAATATGGCGCCCCTGTCTACATCCTTTCCTGAAACACAAAAGTTGATTCTAAACTTTGCTCCTGAAGCCTTACATAATGTAAACCATACCTACAATGGGACTGCATTATCAGTATCTTAAGTAAATCACAGTTTTGTTGTAGGTTTAAAACCTCACCTAACCAAGTTCCCAAAGATACTCCTTACTTTGATGATCTTTTCAACTGTGTATCTGTCTACAGCAGATACCTTAAAAAATCAATGATAATATCCCTCAAATATTTCTCCATAAAATATACAGAAAAATTGGAGATTGATTGAAGACAGTTTATTTTGTCAGTACAGCTCAGAGTTAAGACAATTATTATAAATAAGGAATTAAAGCAACCGTTGCAATAGTAAGCAATTAGTTTGTAGCAATAATTTGGAACAGGCAATCTGCCAAAATGTGAACACAATGTATCCAAATTTTCATAAGTGAGAAAGTCTTGTCAATATTGGTAATTCAGCAAGGGAAAATTGAGAACAAGGCAAAACAGTTCCTTTAGTGATGCTGTCTTTGGAGAAGCAGGAAAATGCTTCTCCAAATGCTTCTGTGTAGACATTCAAAGGAGCCAAATGACAATTGGTGGAGTCCAAGCAGCTGCACAGAATCTAAGAGCAGAAGACTTAATTTATTAAGAGCAAGTCAGGTCAGTTACCAATTTTTGTTATAATGCCCATGAAGCAGAACAGAAGGGTGATCTAAAGAGCAATATTCTTGGGGAGATAGTCAAGTTTTTGCCAGAGAAACATACACCATCCAATAACAAAACCTAAGCATGATCCAGACAGAGCTATCTGGCGAGTAATAGCCTTGTCAGTTACCAAGAGAGAGAGAATGAGCAGACCTAAATGGCTAATGCAAAACATTATTGGAATAACATTGTTGTACTTTATGTGCTATTTTCTATCATATTCTTTCGTGCCCCCCATATTTTAATTAAAGAGGCTAATACAATGTTTGAAGCTTACCTGAAATTCAGCACAGGGACAAGATATCCTTGATCTCTTCTATACCTCTCCTGTTGTGGTGCCTATTACTGCCAAGAGAGACATTCTGGATACAGGAACTAAATACCATCGCAACATTAGGATTTAATGAAAATTGACTTTCATGCCATTTGTCTAGTGAACTTTATTATTTGATATTTAGATAGATGGGATTAGAATCTTTATTTCCCTATTTTTCAATTTTGATTTACTTTAATTTTAATATGGATTATGAATTATACATCTAATAACCTTCAAACAGGCCGATATAATATTGAATATGGATGATAGTGATAACCTATTTTAGGATTAAACTAGAGATTCGGCCTGATAACTTTGAATTTTAAATGAACATAACTTCTCTATTTGTATGACATCGAAATAGGTTTAAATGGATGGAATATTGCTATTCTTAAATAGTATAAGATTGCGTAATTATTATAGCTACTTTAGTTATTTTTAGATACACTGTACTCTGCTGCAAAATGAATACATAGTATGTGGATACAATGTATTCCTCCGATAAGCCGCAGGTTAGTTCCTGTTTTTTTCCCCCCTTGTACCAAGTGAAAAAACTGGGATAGATAGTCACTTTTTCTTTAAAACAGTTTTCTATAATTTTAAATATGTTATATATGCATTTAAAAGATAGAAATTGCTCATTATTATAAACATTTAGCACATTGGGATGATCATGCACCATGCACTTTTGCGATAACCAACATTTTTTGCACATCTTTCACTTTAACTATTATGATATAGTCACTTTAGCATATCTTACTAGCACTTTAATAATGAGTATATTTCCATATATCATTGCACCGTCACTTTACTTAGACACTTATATAAGTGTCTAACAGATATTAAAAAGATACACTTTAACATATATTTAGTAGCCATTCATTTATGGACGATCATGGTGACCTAATCAGTTAGGCTTTTGTTTATATATCGCCTTGGTGACGGATTTATAGATCCCGGATGTTATGACATCATTGGGGGTGGATCTTAATCTCACGCATGCACACGGAGAAGGGGTGGATTCCCACACACAGGTGATCTGAGTCAGGTAGGTTAGTCTTTCCTATTTATAGTCAGTGTTTACATGTTTGTGTTATTATGTCCTGAAGAAAGTTCAAATATGTGAACTGAAACTTTGACCTACTGTATTAAACCTATTACCTTTTAAAAAAAGTCCTTGAGTGCTGGCTTCTCTGTTGGAATTATATTTTTTGTGCAGCTGAGCACCGGGCCAAACACGGAGGAAAGCTGGAGTGCAAAACTTCTGGAATAGTGCATACAGGCTCAGCATTTGTGTATATATATACACAAATGCTGAGCCTGTTGGCAGAGCCTAAAGTTGTGGGAAGGGTTACTATAAATACACAGGCCACCCCGAATTTAGATTTGCTGTTCAGCACATCCCACAGATTGTTAATCAGTTTGAGATATGGGGGATCTGGGAAATTTGGAGGCCAAGGCAACACCTTGAACTATTTGTCATGATCCTAGTGATTATGATGCTTAAAGGACACCTCTGCCATTTCAATGTAAGTAATGGTTTTATTTACCTGGGGTCAGCTAGACGTGGCTTCTCATCTCCCCCTAGACTTCAGGAGAGATGGAAACTCCTGAGTTTTGTTAAACAAGAAGGGGTCAATGGGTCAATGGGTGCAAAAGCCTTGCAGGAAAGCTCTTACACTCAGGGTAGGATGAAGTAATGGGGACAATTAGTGGGACGGTTAAAAAATCGAGGAGGGAGAATCGATAGGAAGAAAGTTAAGAGAGAAAAAGGTAGGATACAGGAAGGGTGGAAAGAAGAAACGTAATGTGTGTCCTTGTTACAAATTATTTACACACAAACGCAATACATTTTACAAGGTTCCTGAGGAAAGAAGTGTAAATGCCAATATGGATTCTGTCCATAAATTCTCCAAGAAACCTCCTGATACACGCTCAGTCAGAGAAATATGATTGCACATATCGCAAATTAATTAATTAATAAACATGTCATTCCTGTTCCCAAGATGATAATAGCATGGCAATCCACCTGCAGCTAGGTAGAAAACATAGGGATTGTATAAACTTGACTTGTTAGAAGGTGAACAGTAGAATTACCCTGTTATATGTTCCTATAGCGCAGAGACGTAACTGTAGTCCATAGCATTCAGAAAAAAGGGGTTAAGGCTTTCCTTTTGCAAGTAGGTAAGGGAACAATACATGGTGCATTTTGAGGATCCCTACAGGGCAGACTATATCGAGGCAAAAGTCTTCTTGTGGTATGGAAATCTAGAAGGCTTAGTTAGGAAGTCAGAGGTCGAGTTTCATGGGATTCAATATATATCTTGATATAATAGAGTGAAAGTACTCCTTCAGGTCCAATGGTCTTGCAATCAGGAGGATCCTAAAGATGGGTTGCAGACCTGTGTGCGTTGCAGTAATCTCGACCCATCCACTGCAGTTATCTATAGATTGCTGAATCAATTTTAGCACTTTGTTGCATGGAATGCCCTCCCCTTTTTGAAGG